ATATGGAGTGAGCCTCCTGCTTTGTCAGACTGAGATCGTCTATCAAATCATCATGAACGTCCCCTCCCCAACTAACACCTGATATAGTGCCTTATGGAACAATGGCTGGACATCAGAGAGACCATCCATTGCCTACAAGAGGTACTTGAGTGCAAGCCAACATTCATGGTAGAAGGAGCCCTCGCCACAGAGTAAATGGCCAGCCTCCTCCTCACATGAGTGCACACATCTCAAGGATGGAAAGTTCTTACAAGTGTCTTCCTTCCAGAATTCTCATCCAATTGCAAACACATCTGGTCTAGGTAAGAGATGTGAAGTGTATGTCGACGAATTCCAATGCAAGGCATACCCAAACCTCCCTCAGAAGGGTGGCGGGTAACAGATCTTGTAACATACCTTGGGAGCCTTGACTTCCCACAAGAAGGAGAGCCTTACAAAACCCACTAGACTTCCGCCCTCCCCTTCAAGGAAAGATTTTTCCAGGACCACAGATGAACTGCGACCTCAGCCTTCTCCCTCACTTCCTACCAATTCATTTTCAAGAGGAGGTTGGGACTGAACCATACACCAAGTATCTTGACTGGCCTGTCAATCTAGAGGAAAAGTCCAGGAAGAGAATTACCACTCCATGAACCAAACCACAAACCAGCAGACTTATCACAGTTGATCCTGGCCCTGTCACCATCCAATGCCCTCTGATCTCCTTGCCGATTTCACCAATTTTGGCTCTGCTCAACACAAGAAACAAAACATTGTCAGTATAGTCGGAGTACCTGGCCAAGGTGGTAGCACCAGGTAGGGAAATTCTGTGAAGGACCGGATTCGTCTTCAACTTGCAAAGGAAGGGCTCTAAAGCAAGAACATATAGCAAAGGTGAAAGCAAACAACCTTGACGAATGGAGCAAGACAATATGAAAGGTTTCGATCTTACTCCATTCACTTCAACCACTGCACTGGGAGTTGAATACAGAAGTTGGATACATGTGCAAAAGTATGGCCTGAAACCAGCGGCCAAAAGGACAGCTTCCAGAAACCAATGGTCAACCCTATTGAAAGTTTTAGACTGCTCTAATTTGATCAGCGCAGCATCACTGTTGACTTCCTCAATGTACCAAATGAAGATTGTCCTGAATAGTCCTGTCCTTCAAAGCATTAAGGTATAGACCCCTATTTCATCTAGTTGTTGTAAATCAATTCCAGCAAGGGGGACAAAGACGGGCGACTGCCTCAAGTACATTTTGTATGGGAGACCATCTAATCCTGGAGTTTTGTCCAAGCCAACAAGCTTCAGTGCATTCCAAATCTCAGACTCTGTAATGGGACCTCACCAAAAAGACAGTCTTTCATGTAGTGAGGTGAGGCACCTCTTTTAGTTAAACATTAATTTGATCATTAGACTTCACCCACATTATTGAATAGATTTCTCCCTTATTGAACATTTTTTTCTATACTTGCTATTTCTATTCTCAACCTCTTATCTGCAGCAAGTTTAGTTGATTTGATTGCTTTGACCAAATTACTGTTATCTACAAAACACTTGATAGGAATGATCTTTTAGTGATTATTATTTAACAACTCACCTAAGAGAAGATACTGAATGCATTATCAGTCCTTTCTGATAGAGCTAGTGTCTCACTTTTTACTACTCTCTTTGTTTTGTAGGATTGCTAGGATATTGGATTCATCTTCTGAATCTCTCTTTTAGTGATTATAAATTGTCTTCCTTGGCTGCCACCATTATTTAAATTTCCAACTGATGGATCTGTAAAAACATGTATTTCTAGGTTTTTGCCCAAATTTTGATACTTCAAATAAACATGGTGAGATTTTATTTTCTTGATAATCTTATTTAATCTTTTCAAATCTTCAACTGTACTTGTGTTGATTCTACCAGCCAGATCTGTCACATTAAATGCGATATCAGGGCGTGATTGTTTGGAAATCCACAAGCTTAGCTTTTAACACAGTCTTCTTATCCTCGGATAAGTGTGCTGTTTTCTCCCTTTTGTCTAATTTCACTTCTATTATATTGTTAATATAATTCTTCTGTGTTAACATGATACACATCTCTACTTGACTCAGATTCAATCCAATATATTTGAATGGACTTGTTGCTTATGTGCAAGTTGGAACTGAATTATTTCATCATTCTGAATTTTAATAACATTGGGGTTCACTTGTCAAACAGATGCTGATCTTTCACTATGTTGGCAGTAGCTCCAAAATCTTCATCTTGTTTCACTATCTTGCCGTGCATCTCTAGGAAATTTGTGATTGTTTTCAGTACCATTTCCTGTAGCATCCATATTTTCCTTGTCTTCATCTTCAGTGTCATCACTTTCTATATTATTATCAGTTGTATCATTATTATTGTGACTAGCTTTTGATTCTAAAGCTCTCAACAGTCTAGTTTCATGCAAGTGAATCATAACTACATTGTCTTTTCCTATAATCCAACCTGGCCCTTTCCATTCACCATTTCTTAAGTACACCTTTTCAC